CAGCTGCTCAATGTCGTCAATATCAAGACAACACTCAGAAGCAGAGACAAGATCACCAAGAACTTCAGAGTCAAAGCTGATTTATTTAAAGAATAAGTCCCCACGATTAAGCAAGAGCTAGACAAAAATATTAAAGCTGTTACTGTGGAGCATATTTTTGCATGAGGTGGGTTTTTTTTGCCGATCTGGGCATGGAATTCAAGACAGAATCAGCACCTCCTCAAGCATTTACTCCAAAGCTGATGACAGGAAGAGTCCACAAATGAAGGATCTGGGGCTCCTTCAAGCTCAGACAGCTACTACAGCGCAACTCATCTCTCCCTGCTTGCCCAGCATTTGCTGCTAAAGACTTTGGATGCAAAGGGAAGGAGTTATTTTGAAACACAGTCAGATCTTACTACTTCAAACTTCATTCAAGTCTGCGTGGAAGGAAAATTATTATCTACTAGTAACTAAGCAGTCTCTATGAACTTACAGTAGTGATAATTCTCATAAAGCACGTAAAGGACTACAGTATAAACGGCATGCTCCCCATCCCTTCAAAAATATACTACACGTTCTTGGTAAAACTAAAGTCCTGGAATTAAATCCTTTATATTCTTCCAGCAGTAATCTTGTCAAACTCAGTACTTCCTCCTCAATAAAGTCACTATAGCTGAATATGTCTGTCTTGCTAAGGAAGAATTACACACATTCATACAAAATTCATCATCCAGCAAGGGAAAATTTTCTGGCCCTTAACACATACCATTTTCTGAAAGACAAAGGAAGACTTAAGTGTTCAGTGAGCCATGACAAAACACACTCTCAGCTATGCTGAACATGTGTTTATGTATGTCGCACTCCTATTCTTCACATACAGGATTTAATGTTTGCAAAAATATTTTTTAAAATAGCAACAATAGGACTCCATGCATTCATTTTTAGTAACAGTCCTTTTCCCGTCAAAGCATCTACTGTGTTCTGATCATACTTCCGATTAATTGTCTGAATGAAGATATACAGTTATGTTTATATGTTTAATAAATGAGATTACACAAACGCTAGAAGACAAGAATAAGATAAAAGTTATTTCAATATTTTAAACAAAAATCAAGAAAAATCTAATTCAGCAGGATCAAGTGAAAGGTAACACACTCAGGAAAACATGATAGATCATATAAACACAAAACAAGAAACAAATTTCAGCAGCACAACTTCAAGGTGACAACTCAGCAAAACTCTATGTACTATAACATCATGAAAAGGCAGATACCATGCAATCATGTATGATACTATCAAATCTATTGGAGTATGCAAAACAATAGTTGCACTCTTTAGAAGTATGCCCACTAATGCCCTGTTGGAGAAGTCTTTTCTCTTTTGGCAGTGGACTTCCAGAAAGACACTGAATGCCTAGAGAGAAGTCCAAGCAAACCAGGGAAAAGTACTACAGATCTATCAAACAGATGGATTCATGGAGAAATATGCAAGAATTGAGTTCTCAGTGTGCAAGGGATATATACACTGCTACAATTTAAATTTGTAAAAGGTTTCAGTTAAGAGGAAGGGAATAACCGTTTTTCAGGCGCACTGCTAAGCCAGGAAGCAATATCGCACCAGATACATACAAGTTAGACAGCGGGGAATGATTTAGAGTTAAGAGTTAGACACGGTTAAGGGATAAAGGGTTTTTATCTCGGTATCTAATATGGATTTTTATGGTGCAATTACTTGCCAAGGTGGAATACACCAAAATGTGCAGACACGGCAGATCACATATACAATTTTACGGCCTTTGTAAATTAGCATCCTTAACAATGATTCTCCAATGATAGGTTTAAATGAACAGTGTGACATTTTCTTATCTTAAAGAATTTTTCCCCAGATGGGCTTAATTTTAGTTTACAGGATATGCTTTAGAGGGGGTCTTGGTTATTCAGGATACTGTAAGGGTTTTCAGCCTCCAACTATGAGGCCTTTAGGATGTTTGGTCTTCTGGCTTAACAGAATACCAGGACTATGTTAACATATTAGACTTAAAGAATTACAAGCATGCATGTGAAGGGTATTGAGAATATGTAAGAGGTATATAAAAAGAAAAGGTAAAAAAATCATCATGGCAACAGGAAAACCCATTCAGTGCTAGGAATAGCACAGCAATACAGCTACAGAGTCCTTGTCATGAAGTCTTTGAGAACGTTAGAGACACACATCAGAGGCTAGTTGGTTTTTTCAGGGAGGAAGGGAGTTTCTTTGGTTTTTTTGGTTGTTTTTTCTAGTGAAACTTTACAGTTACTAAGAAACGGAGACAAGAGGTAAGATGTATCCAAATTATTCCCCGTACTAAAGGTCACATCTTCTTTTAAAGTACCAGCAGTTCCAAAATCAATTATTCTCACCTTTTTGCTTCCTCCAGATGACAAAGGTATTCATAGGCTACATTCTGGCGCCGCCTTTCATCCATTTCCTCTGCTGTTAATCTCTCATTATCCAAGACAGCTGAAAATAAAGAAAACACAGCCCTCAGATGGTTGAAGATCAAATATAACAGAACAGGCACATCAAAAATCGGATCCGACGTCTCCCCCAGAGACTCATCACTGCTTTTTTTTTAATTCAGAAAACTAAGGATGTGATGACTTCTTTACTAGCAACAGAAGATGCCCCATTTTCTTACTGTTGTCACATAAATTTGCCAGCTTCCTTCTCCATGATTTAGCACATTGACGGCATCCCTCTTACAATTTGTTAGAAAACAATCCTTTATTTTCTTATTTTCTTCTAGCTTTGCCTTTGTCTTCCTCAAAATCACATCAATGACCACTTGACCCCTCACCTACCTTCTGATTTTGATAGCAAAAGATTGAGGAAGGACACAAATACGTATTCACATCATATAATCCCTTCTTATCTTTATAGTTCACCTCTAAAACAAGGTGGAAATGCTACTCACACTCCCTATATGGAAGGGAATCATTCAGATTCCCAACCTGCATGCCATCTTTGGATCACGGTGAAAACCTACATAGGGGTAATATGCCTAAATCTTCCAGATTCTGTGCATTCAAAGCCTCAGTGAAAAAAGTCTTCTCGTCCCATACTTACTGCTAAATACATCTCATGTCAAAGAAAAGAAGAAAAACCCACAGCTTTTTTAGGTTTTACGCACAAATATGACAAATAGGAAATGTCTCATACTGTTATTAAGCAAAGATTAGCATATACCTAAAATGCCTTCAACAACAATCTACTGTGCGCTTGTGAGAGCCCAGCAGAAACCGTGCATCCAGGTCGGGCATCCTCAGCACAAAACCTGTCAGAGCAAGTCCAGAGGAGGGCAGCAAAGACGCTGTGGTGGCTGGAACATTTCTCCCACAAAGGCAGGCTGAGACAGCTGGGGCTGCTCAGCCCGGAGAAGAAAAGGCTCAAGGGATACTTCACTGTGGCCTTTCAGTACTTAAAAGGGAGCTTATGAAAAGAAGAGGGAGATACTGATGGGACAAGGGGGAACAGTTTTAAACTAGAAGTGGAGAGATTTAGACCAGATGATAGGAAGAAATTCTTGAACCATGAGGATAGCGAGGCATTGGCACAGGCTGCCCAGAGAAGCTGTGGCGGCCCCATCTCTGGAAGTGTTAAAGGCCAGATCGGACCGACTGCCGCTTACAGCATCGCCCCTTCGCAGCACCACCTTTTCCTCCGCCGTTGAACATTTCTGACGCGGTGTCATAGCACAGGCGGGCCCGCGCACCGGACGCCAAGATCCAAAGGCTCCCTCTCCTCAGCAAGCCTGTGACAATGCGGGAAGGTGTCCGACGGGAGCGGTGTCCGACGGGAGCGGTGCCCGGGCCGGCAAATCGGGTGTGGTCGCCAAAATCGGCGGGAAGGCGGAAGGCAGGGCCGCCCCCGCCCCGCCCCGCCCGCGGCGGACATCTTGGGCGAGGCGCGGGGCCCGCCCGCCGCAGACGACGGTGGCACAATCGTGGGACGCCCCGTCGCCGCCCCTCCACTGCCTTCTCCCAGCGCTCATCTCCAGCACTCAGAAAGACCGTCGAGCTTCGACGAGCTCCCGCGCGGCACGGCGCCCACCTCGCGGGAGACGCGGCTCGCCGGGGCTCGCGAGGAAAGCCGGCGGGGCGCACCGCGCTCGCCGGGCAGTCCCGGAGCCCAGACCCCGCGGCTCCCCCCATGCCTGCGGCGGCCACGGACAGCTCGGGCTAGGCGTCGCTTGGTGGCCACGCGGGTTCCCCCACCCCTCGTACTCACAGCCATAGTGGGGCCGGGACACGGCCAGCCCGTCCACGTCCTCCGCCGCCATGGCGCTGCGCTGAGCCGGGGCTAGCGGGAGCTGGGTGCGGCTGTTCCTCTTCCTGCCGCACTGGGTGTGGCGGGGGAGGAGTCGCCCCTCCGCGCTCTCTCTCCCCCTCCCTCCCTCCCTCCCTCTCCCCGCCCCGGCCGCACCTTGGTCGCCCCCGCCGCCTCCGGCCGCCGCTGGAGAGTAGTGGCGAGTTGCGCAGCCCCCTCCGGCCGGACCCAGCCCCTGGTCTAGCTCGGCCCGTCCCGTTGAACTGAAGGACCCGGCTTGGCAGCCCTGCCTCTCTCCGTGGTCCCTCCCTCTCAGCGGACCTGAATCTTCCTGTTAGCCTCATTCGTAACACCCAGCTAAGCTCTGTCCTTAACTCTGCCAGTATATTATGCGGGACACAGCCCAGGTCAACCTAGCCGTGACCCACGTCTTACCCTCTCAGCCCTCCCAGCCCAACCATGCCAGCCCCACTTGTGTGCAGTGCAGCCTCATTGGCTCAGTCTCCCCAGCCCGGCTGCCTCCCACGTGCTGCTTTGCCTTGGCCCTCTTGTCCTGCCAGGCTCCCCAGCTGCATTGCCCTTCACAGTAGCAAAACCTGGCCTTGCTGGATGCAGCCGTGCCCTTCCGTCTAAACAGCTCTGCTCACCAAACCATGGTAACTCACCTGAAATGTCAGCCACAAGTTGAAGCAGGGTGCCCCAAAACAGTAGCAACATCCAGCAGCATTGCCACAGGAGAATCATGCCCTGAAAGTTTCCTTCCTGTCAGTACACATTACTGTTGCTTTGCCTATTTCTTGTTCCAGGATCAGAGCACTGACAATGCCAACCGCCATGTGTCCATTTTAATTAGTCCCAATATACTCAGGCATACATTTACTACTTAAGTACAAATTAAGTAATTTGGAAGACCAATAGCCTCTGCTAGGAAAAGCATCACTAGCAGGCAAGGGAGTCAATCATTCTCATCTTCCCAGCAGTGGATTCAGTTCCAGCTTCCCCAGTACAAGGAAGACATGGACATAATGGAACGAGTACAGTGAAGCTGATTAACGGCTTGAGCATGTGACATCCGAAGAGAGCATGAGAGAACATGCCAAAAGCAGTGGGTAGTTGACTGAAAAACATAAAAGTCACACTTAAACAAAATAAGAAATATTTGTATTCTGAAGGTGATCTAACACTGGAACAAGTTACCTGGAGAAGCTGTGGTGTCTCTGCCCTTGGAGATAGTTCAAGCCTAATTAGGCATAGTCCTGGACAAACTCGCTCAAGTTCACCTGGTGTTGAGGAAACAAGGTGAGACTAGAGATCTCTAGAGTTCACTTCCAAACTCAATGATTTCATGAGCCCATCAAAAGTTGTATTTACTTACTATATATACGTAGGCAACATGCAATAGGACAAGAAGATACAGTCTTAAGCTGTGCCAGGGCAGGTTTAGGTTGGACATCAGGAAGAATTTCTTCACAGGAAGGGTGATTAGATACTGGAATGGGCTACCCAGGAACATGGTGGAGACATCATCCCCAGGAGTGTTTAAGGAAAGACTGGACATGGAACCTAGTGCTTCAAGTGACAAGTGACTTAGTACACTTAGTGACAAGGTGGTGGTCAGTCATTGGTTGGACTCAACAGTCTTAGAGAACCTAACTGGTTAAAGGAAGACCATAATTCAGTGGTTACAGAAATAACTACATTGGGGAATGCTAGACATAAATTACAAAACAAAAGGTTTTAGACTGGAGTTAGGGTTCTAATTATTAACACATGCATTCACATGTGGCCACTTGGAAGTTAAGCAATGAGAAGACATTTAAGATATTTATGTGTAAACTGTGGAATGCAAAACTCATTTTGTTCCCCCTAAAAAACTCGTAACATTTTTTGCACAGTGTCACAACCCTCCCTCAAAAACATCTCATTCTGATAAGAAAAATAAAACACGAGTATTGCATAACATCAAAGAACCTATCTGAACCTCTTCAAGGTTGTATTCAATGGTATCTATAACAGCTCCCCTGATTTAAGATTTCTGGTAAAATGTTTTTATTAGGAGTTGTGTATCTATGTGTCTAATGTATTGCCTTTCCTGATTCTTGTCTTTTTTTTTCCCTTAATGTTGAATGAGCACTAGTCAGATGGCCTTGCAAATATTATAGAAATACCTATTTTTCTGTCGTTTCAAAATTCGAGCAATCAATTCTGAAAAAAAATTCTTTGAAGTTTTTGACCTTAATAAGTAATCACTAGAGAATCACCTAGAGAAAATGAGCACCAAAATCCTTTAAATAAACTACTGTTATATGTTCTTTTGCAGGGGTTTCCAGACCAATTGTATACTGTGATATTTATATTAAGGATGCATAACAAATGCCTAGACCAACTCCTCAGTCTTTGACACTAGAAGTTTTATCAACAGAAAGACAACAGTTTTATTATACTCATACATGATAATGTTGGGGCTTCCAAGTTACACATAAAGCTATATGGCTATATAGCTACATGCCCATATTCTTCCTACATTTCAGACCTTATTTTTGCAAGCTGAACCAAGTACATATTAAGTGACCCTTAACACTAAACATTAATTTATTCTAAATTAAGAAGAGTAAAAATGCACATAGAGAAAAACACTGTCAAAAATGGGGGGGGATGAAAGATGCTTCTAGAAACCACTTTATTAAATAACTTGATAGTTTTCAAACTAGACAGTTTTAATTAAAAGACTACCCGCATTACGACAGGAAGCGAAGGAAAGCAATATATAATAAATGGAGAAAGATAAAACTGGCACTGCTAAACCACAACACTGACACATACCATTAGAAACCTAGTGAGGCATACCGAAACCAAGTCTACCTAGAAGGCTGCGCATTTGCTATTGTCCTGGATGGGACCTCCCAAACCAGCACTTGCCATCACAGCCACCACGTTCCTGCACGGTCCTCCTGCCGCGAGCCAAGGCCAACGCGCCTCTGGAGCGCTCGGGACGTGAGCGGGGGCCACGGCAATCGCTCACGGCAATCCCTCACGGCAATCCCTCACGGCAGTCCCTCACGGCAATCCCTCACGGCAATCCCTCACGGCAATCCCTCACGGCAGTCCCTCACGGCGGTCCCTCACGGCGGTCCCTCACGGCAATCCCTCACGGCGGTCCCTCACGGCGGTCCCTCACGGCAGTCCCTCACGGCGGTCCCTCACGGCGGTCCCTCACGGCAATCCCTCACGGCGGTCCCTCACGGCGGTCCCTCACGCCGTGCTCCGCTACACCGCTCTCGCTTGCCTCTTCCGGCGCGCTCGCCCTCGCGCGGCCGCTGCCGCCGGCCGTTCCCCCGCCCCTGGCCGTTCCCGCCGCTCTGCCCCCGCCGCTGGTCATGCCTGCCGCCCGTTCCCGTCGCTGCACTCTTGCCCCTTGAGCGCTCCCCCGTCTCCTCTGCCCCCCTCGCCCGCCGTTCCCGGCGGTCCCCGCGTTCTCCCGGCAGCCCCCGCGGCCCCGCGGCCCCGCGGCAGGATGATCCACGAGCTGCTGCTGGCTCTGAGCGGGTACCCGGGGGCGGCCTTCACCTGGAGCAAGCGCGGCGGCCTCCAGGTGTGCCACGGCCCCGGCCAAAGCTCCCGCCCTGCCTGGCCCCCGCCCTGCCTGGCCCGTCTGTTCATCCTTCCGTTCATCCGTCCGTCACCGCTGCTTCCCCTTCTAGGTGTCTCAGGAGCTGCCGTTTCTGCACCCCAGCGAGACCAGCGTCCTGAACCGGCTCTGCCGCCTCGGCACCGACTACATCCGCTTCGCTGAATTCGTGGAGCAATACACGGGACATGTACAACAGCAGGTGGGGCCGCCGGACCGTGGCATTTCCTGGGAAGAGCGCGGCAGGTGCCAGTAAGGCCAAGCTGCCCGGGACACAGGAGCGGCCCGTGCCCGGTGGCCTGTACCCGCGCTTTTGCTAACACCGAGCAGAGCTCCAGAAAGTTCTCTGCGATGCATGTAAGGGAGGGTAGAGAGCATGAAGGATGAATCAAATATAAAATCCTGTTCTTAGGGAGGTCTTGTAATAATTCCTGACGGCACCAGACTGGCCAAGGTTTGTGAATTGAGCGAGATGCTCGTGACTATCTCCTCGTGATTTGCGAAGAGCCTTGAGATTTAAGAGGCATGCTTAAGTGAAAAGAAGCACTGTACCAGTGACTCCCAGCATTTGCATAGGTCCACAAAAGAGCAAAATATAAATCTGCTTAAGTAACTCTCATTGTGACAAGGATGTATTTGTTCTTCTGATCATTTTATGGTGAGCTAAGGTGCATTTCAACATGTTCAGAGCACTGACTACTGCTGTGACCCTGCACAGATATTATGGTCCTCTTAGACTTGCACTAGGATGCTGATGCAGATTTTATTGTTTGGTTTCAGGATCACCATCCATCTCAGCAAAACCAGAGTGGATTGCATGGCATTTATTTGAGGGCCTTCTGCACAGGTCTTGATTCAGTGCTGCAGCCTTATCGACAGGCGCTACTTGACCTAGAACAAGAGGTAAAGGAGAGAGATACAGAACAAGAGGCTGCAGTGCTGCTGACAGATTATGGGAACTTGTAATTTCTGCAGTAAACATACTAGTAGTAGCTTTTAAGATGAAACAAGGTATTTTCCTTTCCACGTTATAGATGCCTTCAAATTATTCCTGTGAGATGCCATTGTAAATTACTTTTCATCCTAATAAGTGTTGTCCCTTCTTCCTTCAGTTCAGTAAGAGCTCCATCTTTGTCAGAGCCCAATGCTGTCTCAGACTATTGTGACTTCTCTTTTCAGTTTTAGAGGTTTTGATTAATCTCTGTTAGACTAATAGCTGTCATATCTCCGGTAGTGTCACCATCCAGTGGTTGTGATAATTAATCTTCATTATTTGCTTTATCTTTATAGTTTCTGGCTGACCCACATCTTTCTATCTCACATGTTAATTACTCCTTGGACCAGGTATGTCATGTTATTAAAGAGGTAGTGTTCTTTGCTTGCTGTTATCCCTCATTGAGTCTAATAAGAAAGTGGGTGGGATAAACAAGGCTTATTCCATCATGTCATGCCATTTCTGTTAATAACTCTACATCTGTAGTCCCTTAATTATGCTTAGAGAATCATCTGCAGTTCAACACAAAGCTACTGTCCTCCACTTTGACCTTTGTCTCATTCCTCCCTGGCTGTGTTTAGCCTGAGTTGGAACATAGTAACTTCGTGCATCTTGGTCCAGTGGAGAGAAGACATACTCCTAAAGATGCGCATGTCATGTTTCGAATTTTTGGGGAAAGAGAGATAATAGTTTGATTAAATTATTGTGTTCAGCTGCTGTCCACAGTTACTCAAGTGTAGGTTCTTTTTTCTCTTCCTTACATAACAACCTAAATCAGTATTTCACTTCTTGTTCTGCAGTTTCAGTTACTCTTCCCCTCCGTGATGGTCATGGTGGAACAGATCAAAACTCAGAAGGTACAGTAAAATTGCGGCTAGTTTCTCTTAACAGATTTTCTCTTTAACTGATAAAGTCATTTCTGCCCCCATCCCATACTTTCTAATACTAGAAGATAATGTTTCAGTAATGGATGCCCTATTAGTAGTTCTATTGTAAGTCTTGACACTATTCTACAAATTCATTTACACTGTATTTGACTTTTCCCCTTATCCCATAATCTTTGATGTCTTGAATTTTATAGGACAGGATGCTGGTGGTTGGAATTTTTCTTTTCTGAGTCTGTTTTCTCTGACTGTTGCCTGAAAAAAGGCAGGGGCTAATGTTTTAAGAATGGAGAGATGCTTACATTTTTTAAGGGAAAGTATTGAGAGATGCTTGGGTGTAGAGCTACACATAGAAGGCCTTTTTCATCACTACACAGAGCATGTTACGCCTTTCTGTGAGACTTGTTTGGTTTTTGAAGACATTTTTTGTTAGCTGAAAGTGTAATGTTTAAATGCATAAAAAGATCAGTACAGATCCAAATAACAGACCTAGTCTAACCTTTCCTTTCTGCAGATTCATGGATGCCAGATATTGGAGACAGTCCACAAACACAGCTGTGGGGGGTTGCCTCCTGTTCGCAGTGCTCTTGAAAAGTATGTAGATACAGTAAAACTTCATTCTTTTAGAGTTATCGTCAAAGTGTTTCTTACTTGCTGAAACAATACATGCAAAACAGCCTTGCATGGTATAAAAGTAGGAGTACCATGCAGGGGAAAACTGTCACCATCCCCATTATTTATCTAAAGCAGGTAAGTGGTGGGAATTAAGGCTTTCTACATACTTTGGGTTAAGGGCTCAGGAAACTTCAGACTCAGGTATTTTTTCTTCTTTTGAAGTCTATGTGAATTGTTTTGCTAATGGTAGACCTGTTATTGATCTTTGATCCTTCAAAATAATAAATGTGACTGTGTGAGTGTTGTGATATTTGTACGTCCTTGTGGAGAAAATCAAATTACTTAAAATGTCATTTTAGTAGAAACAGCAGCCTGCTGCAGACTTATACCTCTGGTATACTGGTAGATTTCAATGGAGAAGCCACATGTTCAGAAGATATGTTAGCTTACTTTTGGACCTTCTAGTTTTGTTCACCTTTCTTTGTTTTTTAACAAAAAAGATATTAAATACCACATTAGCCATTTTATACTTGCCATACTGCCTGGCTGATCAACTGGAGCATCTGGAATGCCATACAATGAGGTTTTGATTATTGTGTGCAAAGGCCTGACTGACTGTTTCTCTTGACCTCAGGATTCTGGCTGTGTGCCATGGAGTCATGTATAAGCAACTCTCTGCCTGGATGCTGCATGGATTGCTACTAGACCAACATGAAGAGTTCTTTATCAAACAGGGCCCCTCTTCTGGAAATGTCCCTAGTCAACCTGAAGAAGATGACGATGATTTAGGAATTGGGGGACTTACAGGAAAGCAGCTACGGGAACTGCAGGACCTGGTAAGATCTGCAGGTCATAACTTGGCATCTTTGGTCCTTAGGGATCTAAAGAATAAGTGTATTGTATTCTGCTTCAATGCAAGCTATGCTAGACAAGACATATACTGAAACCTGCTAGGATGGTAAATCAAAATAATACTGTAATAGGTTCCTGCTGGGCCTAAGGGACAGAGACCTGTTGTTTGGCACAGTTGGATAACTCCAGGGCAGAAAGCCCTATGGATGGAATCTGTGTAAACACTGATGTCAAGTAATGGGAACTGCTGCATGCCCACTTGTCCTGGAGTAACTTTATCATGCTTGTAGCCCCAGTTGTCTATTCTGTTTATGTTCTGTCTCTTGACTGACTGGTTTCTCATTCCTTATGGTCAACACTGTGATCTGTTTAACATAGACATTGGTGGTAGTGTGAGCAGTTGCAGGGAACAGGGTGTGGGGAACTTGGCTGCTGACTTGATTTGCATACTTTCTATGGGCAGCTGGGTCAGGTGCCTTTCTTGCACAACCATTAGTTGTGCAAACGTTACCTAACAGGTTAATGCTGCTGACATTACTGGCAGAAAATGTGTTATGTGAGAGTCAAGGGCCTGCTAAGCAAGGGAGCAACCTGCCAGCACACTGGTGAAATGTAGTAACTTCCTGTAGATGATACACGATTAGAGTGCAAAGCAGCTTTCTGAATGGAGTAGTCTTCCACACTGGGCATTTGAATAGTGTCTGAATAGAGAACAGTGTGGAGCAAGTTCAACTCTAAATTCACCCTCTAGTTTATGGTGAGAAAACATTTCATGGGCACTTATGGAGTTAGTGTGGTGCATGCAGCTTGGCTCTGACCACACAGAAACTCTGTGTTGCATGCTAATTAAGTGCCCCATGCCAACAGTCTACTGAAAACAGACTACACCCAGAGAAAAACAGAGGAAAACTTTAAAACACAGTTAGTGGAAAAATCTGTTATTTCATTATATTGGATAAAGAAAGTGAAAATTGTTGAGTCCTCTAAGTCCATGGTGGAAATTGTAGACTAAGCAACTTCTTTCTTCAGTATTATCAACTAACACTGATGGCAATTCTTCAAAGAGTAACATAAGAACTCTTGAGTTTTAGTGGGATAGACCGATAAAATACTTGGGTGTTGCCTCATCTAAAAGTGACTCTAGAACCTGAAGAAAAGAAGTGCCAACCTGTTAATATCAGAATACAAATTTGTACTAAACTCTTCTATTGAAATGAAGAATTTTGTAGATGGCAAACATTCTGAAAAGTTTGAGTGTTTTTTTTCTGGATTATGTACCACTGAAACAAATTCTCCAGTAACAAGAAAGCCAGATGAAATTATCAATATTGTGTTCCTGAAGGAAGATCTTGCCTTCATACTTGGAGTTTCTTATCAGCATTCAGAAAAAAATTTAATAACTTAACCGTTTTGTTCTAAAACAACTTTCACGGGAACTGAGAAAATTGCCTTATCTTTGCTAGTAAGCCTTTGGATCTTTATCCTGTTTGCTCACTAGTGGAGGTGTTTATATTTGGCCTGTTCCAACAGTGTTAAAACATAGGAATGGGTGTAGGGGAGGATTATTTTTGGTAATGCTACTTAACATTGGTATGGCAGCAAAAGACTGATGTAATGCATTTGCAGTAAAACTTCTGCTTGAGTAACATAATCCTTTAATACAGCCAATTTGTTACTGTTCCACAAAGGTTTAGCTTCTTTTTCCCTTTCTCCTTCGCTCTTTTGGATGCAATATCTAGGGAGATCTGCTAGCTTACCAGAAGCATAAGGACGTTTACTGCATTACTTAAATGATACAAAGCAGTTCTGCTACCTTTCTGCTTGCTTCCAATGCATTTAAATGCCCTCTCACACACACATTCCTTTATACACCTTTTTTGTCTGATTTTCTGATACTGTTTTGCACTTGATTTCCTTTCCCTGGTGTCTCCGCCAGCGCTTGATTGAGGAGGAGAACATGTTAGCTCCGTCTCTAAAGCAGTTTTCGTTGAGAGTAGAAATGCTGCCTTCATACATTCCTGTACGGGTTGCTGAGAAAATCCTCTTTGTGGGAGAATCTGTTCAGATGTTTGAGAATCAGAATGTTAACCTGACCAGAAAAGGTAAGGAACATCTTTCTTGCAACCTTTGCTCAGTTATGAGTGACTGACATGTAGTTTCCAAAATGCCACATGAACGAATTCCTCAACAGTCACTGACTATTGGCTGTTAGTCTTCAGACTGTATGGACAGTTGTACCAGGACAGAGCAGTAGCCCCAGTGTTCTGCTGCTGATTGATTCCAAGGGAGAGGTGTAAGAACAGGATGAGTAAATAGCACTTTCCAAACATAGTCTCCAAGTTTGCAGCAGCAAGTCATCATGTGATTTGCTCTGGATAAAGTGATTGAAAAGGCCTTGTTTTCTTTTCAGTTTGCATCCCTCTCCCTAAAGGCTGCATGCAGACACAAAGACACATCTTACTCTGAGTGTATATATTGCAGAATGGTGTAATGGGATTAATTTGCATCCACAAATATGAGATTGCAAGGTGGTCCCAAAGTTGCTATGAAAGACAAATTATATGGAACCTTAAAGATAGCAAGGGAGAGAAAATTCTATAGCTGATGGTTCACTTTGAGAGCTTGAAAAGTTTACGTTGGGGGTGGTTTGGGAAATATATTCCTACACCAATGAGGGAAGGCTGCTGTGGTGGCTCTACTTTGAGCATATCTATGCAAAAGTACTTAAATTACTTGAGTGACATTACAGAGAACAAAGCACCAATTCAGTTGGACTGTTTTCTTGCAGAAGCAAGGGGAAAAGAAATATAGCTCAGTTGGTTAAAGAAAAACAAAGTCTCCAAGTTCAAGCAGTGGGATAGATTTGAAAGGGGCAGGGTTATGGGGAGACCCAAACCAAGTGATTAATGTTGCAGAAAAGTTTGTGGGTTCAAAGATGTAGCTCAGACCTAGAAAAAGGGCATTTAGCAGCAGCCATTTATGTAGAAAATATTTGAGAGTTTTACTGATAGCACGGCACTGACATGTTAAGTGTCTATACTGCAACTGTACGTGCCACAGTAATCTTATACCTTGGTACTTGTACTTTGAAGCCTTCTCTTCACATTCCTTGCCAGACCTGAGAAAGTGCAGCCTTTCTGTTCCACTCTGCTGGAAGGGGCCTGTACGTCTCCAGATGGCATCCCATTTTACTCTCTGAAACTCTTCTCATTGCTGTACAGGCTCCATCCTAAAAAACCAGGAGGACACTTTTGCAGCAGAGCTACATCGACTCAAGCAGCAACCACTTTTTAGTTTGGTGGACTTTGAATCAGTGGTTGACTGGATACGGAGCACTGTTGCTGAGGTGAGCATCCTAGGAAGGGTAACTATTATGCAGGCTGAGAAGCTAAGTTTTGTAAAGGATGTGGAAGAAGGGGGCTTGTCAGTGCCAGTGATTGAACAACTATTTAACAGTGCAGCTGTTCTACGTGGTCTCAGAGCTTCATGTAAACCCAACTTCTAATGACAAAAGGACATTAACAAATACTATGCTCTTTCATGAGGGAAAGAAGGGAATTTTTAGTTTGGTTTTTTTTTCACATGAAATTACTTCCAAACTTTTCATTTGCTTTCAGCATATTAGATGGCACCTGGCTGAGCACATGCTTTGGCAATTTTTAATCTTTTTTTCACGTGGGGTAGGGAGGAGAAACTAAACAAATGGGGAGGTTAGAGAGCGAGAACAAAACTGGGGTAGAACTGATTTCATAGGAATTTGCACTTTTTTGTCACGGGTCTTCAGGTTTCTTAGGCAGAGTTTTTTTGCCAGTATATATCAAGAATTTTAACTGGTAACGTGGGCTGCTACACAGGACTCTCACTGTCTTCTCTTGTACTTCAGATAGCATTTTGTATAGGTGTTCTTTTTGTATGCATCACAAGTGTTTGAAGACAGCAGCTACTCTTCTCTCTGAATGGGTGAGATAATTCTGAGGGGAGATTTCTGTTCTGTTTGATTTTTGTTTCTTCACTAGCATCTTTGGAAACTGATGGTGGAGGAATCAGATCTACTAGGACAGCTGAAGGTAATGCAACTCCTAGTTTGTTTTTGCTGAAGCAGCTCTCTTCCCTTCCCTTCCCCTCTTTCTTGCCATTAAATACTGCCTTACACTCTGGGCTTTATTAATTTAGGTCAAGACGTTTTCATTTTCCAGTCTCAAGAATGAGCATACACTGATAGAACTTGGTCAGAGACAGAGTTAGAGGGGTGTGTGTATGTGGTTTTGTGGTTTTCATCTTGAAGCAAAGGCAGTGTAGGCTTTTTGGTCAGTGAATGAAATTCAGAGCTCTCCAGCTGTGTTTAGAAACAGCAGTTGTCAAAGTAATAAAAATGGGTGCTATCAGCTAGGATGCTTAAAATTTCTGCTCAGTTTTTGCTATATTAGGCACAAAAATATATCTCCACAGATTATAAAAGACTTTTACCTTCTGGGAAGAGGTGAGCTGTTTCAGGCCTTCATTGACACTGCACAGCACATGTTAAAGACACCACCCACGGCTGTAACTGAACATGGTGAGTGTTGTTTATTCGCTTACCAAACTGTCCTCATTGTGCTATAGCAGGAAAGTGGTAAGCCATGTCCAGTACAGAAGAGTTCTGTCTTAACTCTCTACATGATGCCATTAGTTTTGAAACTACAGCACTTGTGAATTAGAATGTCTGAGAGTGAGTGAAAACAATCCCTCAGAAACCTTCTGATGGCAGGTATTTGAAACTGGAATTAAAATAAATGAGTGTCAGTTCTACATCAGTGTTGTCTTTTAGGACCAAGAGTAAATAATTAATGGGTGTAAAATTGGCACTAGCTGCATCATGTGTTGATATGTGTTCTCTTGTTCTCAGATGTCAACATTGCATTTCAGCAGTCTGCTCATAAGGTGCTGTTAGATGATGACAACCTTCTTCCTCTTCTTCACTTAACCATTGAGTATCATGGAAAGGAACATAAAGGTATCTCCTTGCATTTTTAGAAGTAAATTAAGAGGGGAGATGTTGACCTTGTTTTCAAATCAATTAATTACCCTTCTCTCAAGTAAAAGAAATACTAATTTTGTTCCCTTTACTTCCCTTTGTGATGGCCTAGACTACTTTGGCTCTTCTTAATTCTCTTCTTTCCCTTTTCTTTCTTGCCATGGTTGCACTGACTGAGAAAATAACATAATTCAGCACCTTGCTTGTTTTTAGATACTTGTCAGAGTCGTGAAGGGCCTTCCCGGGAATTATCTCCACGTGAAGCCCCCACATCAGGATGGGCAGCTCTGGGCCTTTCATACAAAGTTCAGTGGCCACTGCACATTCTTTTTACTCCTGCTGTTCTCGAGAAGTAAGTACTAGGTATGGTCTTTCTATATTCATCTGTATGTTCCCTGATGTGAGGCATTCACTAGTGTGTTGGGGTTTTTTCCTCCCTATGGAGAGAAAGGTAGAGCTATTGCTCCCTGAACCTTAAAATGTTTCGTCCTACTTACTCATACTGAAAGTATTTGTAATGACAGTAAGACCTGCAAGATGCTGACAGATCTGCACTGATTTACAAACAGCATTACTTTAACAAACAGTGTTTTCATTGACAGCTCCCCTCCTTACACTGAAACGAACTCTGTATTTTTTAGGTCAGTAATCAATACAAGCAGAAATCTTAATCTGCAAGATGTGTGATGGGGCACACGGGCCATGACCTGATTGGCCCTAACTATTGGCAGTCACCTCCTGTTTCTTTTTCCAGTCTTGCATTGTTACTTTCTCCAGTAACTGTAGCAGAGGAAGATTTTAGTCTTAAACAATTTTGTATTTTTTGATTGTAGGTACAACGTTGTGTTCAAATACCTGCTGAGTGTGCGAAGGGTCCAGGCTGAGCTACAGCACTGCTGGGCTCTCCAGATGCAACGCAAACACCTGAAATCTAACAGAACAGATGCCATCAAGTGGCGTCTGAGGGATCACATGGCTTTCCTCGTGGACAATCTTCAGTATTATCTGCAGGTGAGTATTACAGAGAAAGATAAACTCTATCAGTTAATCCAAAACTGGCAGAAATGCATGGAGGGAGCACTGAAGACCTAGCTCAGGTTTCTGAATCCTTGTACCTTAACGAAATCAGGATTTCCTTTGCAAGTCTAGAGCTTCCTCCAAGTTCCCAGACTACTGCTACAATTACAGAGTTTCTGGACTTGTGAATTAGTGAAATGGAGTTCTTTAGTAGCTCTCTAATGCTACTAAATGTTTGTGAGAAACTACTCATCTCTGAAGGACCATCATTAAGATACCATCCTGGTTCCTTCTCTGGCCTCTTTAAGTGAACTCTACTTTGAGCTACGTTTTGGGCTTTTTTGTTTGGTTTGGTTTTAAAGAATTGTGAGGGGGGCCTGGATTTCTAAATTCTCCACAGTAATCTGCCTGAGCTTTTGTACTGCAGCCTTCACCCTAAGATTCCAAATTGTATCTCCCAGTATCAAATTCAGAAATTACTACAATCAAGTACCTTTGTTTACGTGCTAGCTATATACCTTTTCATAGTTAAATAAAATCACCATTTCCTTTTCTACTTCGATATTACTTAGGCATCAAAAGTTGTTGCATACCCCACGTTATGCAGTGCTCTTGTTATAATTCCCCCTTCATCAGCCAGAGAGAAGGGGATCCTCAGCCTGTAACATAAGAGTAGCAATAAGGAAAGTAAGTTTATTAATCAAAACTTTGGCTGGTCTGAAGCACTCCCAGTTCCTCAAATGGCTAATGAGGTATCTTCACATATTCATCAGGTAGATGTACTGGAGTCTCAGTTCTCACAGCTTCTGCAGCAGATAAATGCTACGAGAGATTTTGAGAGTATACGACTGGCTCATGATCATTTCCTCAGTAATTTGTTGGCTCAGTCTTTCATCCTCCTAAAACCTGTAAGTAGGTCTTGTTTTCACCTTTTTCTACCGATTCTCCAAGCGCCCTAAGAAAACACACCTTTTTGAACAGATATGGAAAATCACATCTTCTAAAACAGATCAGTGATAATCTCCTGCAGACTACAATTCTAGGAGTCAGGCAGGTATAAACTAAAACTGATAATTAAGATCATCTAATTTACAGTTGGTGAGTGTGAATGCTGTATTCCAGGCAATTCTAAGTGAAGCTTATTTCAGTGTTCAGTTACCCTTAATAACTTGTGTTTTATCACTGGTTTTATCACACGCTATTTTATTAAAGAAGAACTAATGAGAATTGCCTTGGGAACTGTATTCCTGTGGGACTCATACTGATATGCATTAGGCTAGGAAAAATTCCCTCTTCTACTTAAGAGAAAAAAAATAGTTGAGATGTTCCTGAGTGGATTTAGGGTCTTTTTAATTTCATTAATAAAAAAAAAAATTAGAAGTATTTTTATAAACAGCCTCACAAAACCATTTGCAAAGAAGGTTAGTTTCAATGAAACACAATGTCTCTGTGCTCATCTACAAGATTATTGTAGAATAAAGGTGTCAGAATAGTAATTACCCAGTCAGATCAACTGACACAAAATAAATTCCAAGTTTAGTGAACAGTGAAACCAAAGCCTTGAACCATAGCTCTTGTTGGTCTTTATCCTGCCTTCTTAATCCCAAAACTGCAGTGATGACCTGCTGGTTGGATAGAGAAGCCAGTGTGCAAGTCCTGTGCCTATCTGGATGATTCCTGCCAATTGCTGTTTTCCCAGAAATGTCTGCAAAGGTTGTGTGAGGTGCAGAGGGGAGATGCAGCAAAACATTTAAATACTTTTTCCATAGAAAACCTTTAAAAAATGCTACATCAGTATCTTCCTTCCTGACTAAAAAAATACAAAAATTTGTTATGAATGCTGCAACTTTTCAGGTACCTGCTTTCTCTCTGTGTTCGAACTCTGTTTCAACTACTAATTTATACTTTTTATCCCATGTAGGTTTTCCACTGCTTAAATGAAATTCTGGATCTTTGTCATAGCTTTTGCTCTCTGGTCAGTCAGAATCTGGGCCCATTAGATGAACGGGGAGCAGCACAACTCAGTATTTTGGTGAAGGTGAATCTATGTTTCTGTGGCTCTGTTCTCCTCTCATGCAAACATTTGCCTAAGCAGTTATCTTGGCTTGAACAACTGTAGAACAAGAGTGAGTGTAAGCCAAAACCTTCTCTATAAGTGCTTGTAATTATTTTAACTAATCAGCTCTTCTGAGTTGGAAATTCAATGTGCACAGAAAGGCAGAACGGGGGCAGATACTGGAATAGAAGGGAGGCAGAGGTTGGTACCTCTATCCCTGCTTTTGGATAACTAACATCCAGGAGTTTTTGTGGCTCACAGCTTACCTTATCCTAGACCACAAGCATCTCATCTCTTGCAGTAATTCTTTTCTTCAGACTGTTCAAGGACTGGGTAGGCAGAAACAAGAAATGAGGTGCTTGCTTTTCTTCTCTTCTGAGAAGGCCCAGAACTGACATCTTCAAATTTGTAGGGATTCAGTCGTCAGTCATCACTTCTCTTCAAGATTCTCTCTAGTGTTCGCAATCATCAGATAAACTCTGACTTAGCTCAACTGCTGCTGCGCTTGGATTATAACAAATACTACACCCAGGCTGGAGGAACCTTGGGCAGGTAGGAATATCTTGATGGTTGCTTGTAGCGTTATCTGAGGTACCTGAAGTACAAAGCCATTTTTTGATTGCTTCTAATTATTTTGGCTTACGCTAAGTGTTGATAAATACTATGACAGAAAAGTAACAAGTCAGCACATGGTAGTTTTTGGGTTTCATATACTTTCTCCCCACTGAGTTTCTTTTGGCAAAAAGTTGAACAAGCTGCAGCATTTATTGGCCAAAAAAATCCTGGTGTGGGTTGGTAAAGGGAGTTACTTTCAACATGTAATTAATACTGTACCTTTCTCTTGCAGTTTTGGCGTTTAAGCACTAAAGGCCTTTCCTTCAGGCTGTGACTAGTGATGTGTCAAGCACTGGAAACTGGTGCTCTTGGACAGTTGGAGAGTTTGCACTCAAATGAATTTTTCTTTGTAGCTGGCTTTTGTGTGATGAACTACTGTTTCAGAGGCAATTGGCAGGAATTGCCACTTACGTGAGGCTGCCAGCGATTACAGAAAGCTATTCTATTTCTTCTGAACTCACAAAAATATGCTTTCTGCAGCTCTGCACATAAGTACTTCCAGGGAGGCAACCTGAACCTCTTCAAAAAGTGAAAAAAACAGAATTATGATGTCCAGACTCTTCAGTTGGACTACAGTGTCTTTATTCTTCAGCTGGACTACGTTTCACTTGATGTTTGAATATGGAGGAAGTAATCTTGTTCTTGACTATGAATGAAGTTTTGGCTGTATTCAGAAGTTACACTTGTGTAGTAAGCTGATTTATAGTACACAATGTCTGTCACCAGGTAAATGAAATAGCAGTAGCAATTTTCAATTGAGGTGAAGGGGGAGGGAAGAAGAAATAGATTTTTTTTTAAATCTCTTCTCATGCAGTGCACTAGTCTGGTATATTTGTATAAGTCATGGAGACACTACTGCCATCACATGCTTTCTCTATACAATTTAATACAGTTTATGTGCTGAAATGACACTTGCCAAGGCAGGAGCTTTGCCTATTCGAGTAGAAAGTGCCCGCTGCCGGCAGAAAAATGGTAAGGAGATGCTGACCTGGGATACTCACCTGTGCTGTTCTCATTCCAAACTATTTAGAGTGCTACTAGTGATCACCCTACTGAACCCAAATAAAAATATCTTGTCATGCAATTATATGGAGTATTGTCAATGTCTGCAAGCCGGTGCAAAGGGAGTAGCATGGCACGGCCTTACCTATCACTGAAAAGCAGTGTCTTGCAGGAACTTCTTGCCTGTTACCAAGATTTCCTAACAGACTATCTTGATGCAAGTCCATTTGAATGACTGCCAAAAGAGAACCCTCCACTCCGTCACTGGGGTGTTGTTTCAGGATTCCCAGTTTGAACACAAATGCCGCCAGGAAACCAGCCTTCCCCTCCAAGAGTTGTATTTGCACACAGCTGCTGCTCACACTGAAGTTACAAGTCCTTGGGGGAAAAAAATCCTCTCTGCTTACTCAGAAAGTCACAGTGACAACAGCCAGCAAGGATAAGACCTGGCACCTTCCATGCATTACAGCAGTTTATGGTACCACTGTGCCTGATGCAAGGTTTAAAATGAGCCGTTGGCCATTGAAAAAGCTACAAAGCTAGAGAAAGTGTTGAAGTTTGGATGTGAGATTTACAGACCAACACAGTCAAATGTCTGAGCCATGAAATGATAGAGAAAAAAATACACATTGAGAAAAACTTAACACTTTTGAAGCAAGGGACTAAAGATTGTATGAGGATGGAGGGAAATCTTCAGCCTATAGCACAATTTAAGTGAAAAGCTTTTGCCTTCATGCCAGCTGACTACTAAGATGTGAATGCAGAAGCTCAAAAGCAGATGATTTATCCCATTACCATTTAAAGATACACAGCACTTACATGCTCTTTGTACCTCAGTCTCCCAGCAAATTACTTGTCCAAGGTTCTTGTGTCTATCTCTAGTTAGGTAGAGTCCATCTCCGCTAAGGTTAATACCTATACAGTCATGACAGGAAAAAAAAGGGAGCCAAAACAAAATTATACGTGTTCAAGAAATTCTTAGCACTCGCTTTAGCAGCACCTTAATGAAATTAATGGAAAATAACAACAGCGAACTGGAGGAATACACAGCATGGTATTCTTCCAACAGAAATGCCACTGCCCAGAACTTCTGCCAGTGGAAAACATCTCTTCCTCTGTAATTGACTTTGTGTTGAGCTCAGGCTTTACTCAAAGCAGAATATTAGTGCTATTTAGCGCAGAGAAATGTAAGCGTTTCTTTTTTCTCTGCACTCCTTTCCTGAAGGCATTGCTCTGGACTAAGTTCAGATAAATGAGGAGTACCAGCAGATACCACAAGAGATCAAACATTTATTTAATCATAAAAGTCCAGCAGATAAAACTATATACAATAATCCATGCATACTGCCCTATTCACAAACATTTAAAACCTGTTTAAAACACAGTCTGCACAACAGTTGGACAGCAGGGCAGTTTCATTCAGTGAGGGACATAGTCATGTTTATATTTTGGATGCTGCTTGTAGCCTACTCTCTCCCCAGCAATAAGGCTCTGGATCACCCACTCTTGTGAGACAACAGGCAGCCGTAAAGCTTCTGCACACTTCAAGACACCAGCTGGGCAGGAAAAATCAGTCACCACCACATCATAAACACCCAAAGCAATATCTGTACAGAAGGAAAGACAGGTATGTGTCAGGTGAAGAAAGAGGATTCTGTTCTGCAGCACAACATCAAAGAAGCATGGAAAGCTACATTATTTGGTTTGAGAGGGACCTTAAAGCTCATCTCATTCCACCATCTGCTGCCTTCAACTGGAGCAGGTTGCTACAAGCCCCATCCAACCTGGCAGATGAGTGTGTTTCATCACTACTAATCATTCTTACATCTTCTCATTCGTAGGCAGTGAATTTTCATTGTAAAAGTCAAGACACGCCTACAGCAACCCTACACCTCACAAGAAAATATTCCTTTTAGTCCTGATAAAAATTAGGAGAAAACCAGTAGCCAACAGTATAGGCATGACCCTGAGTCCTGACCTCAGGCTGTGAGTGCTAGGGCCTACATCACATATGAAGAGGGAGAGAGAGCCAAGTTCACAAGGACAAGGGAAGCACAATTTGACAGACCAATAGAAGGCCCAGGAGCAACTCTTTCTATTTCCCCCTTTCAACATAGGCTGGAAGCTGATGGCTTGTGTTCTGAATTGCTGCAGCAGCTCCTCTGCAAGACAGGTGTCCTAGACGTAATCTACATACAGATTACATTCAAGTAGCAAGAATCTGCCCTTTGCCTTCCTTTCTGCTTACAGATATTCTTGTAAATCATCCCACATGGTTTTAAACCATAGTAAAGACCACAGCGGCATAGGATTCCATGAGAAACTGGCCAATGAGTACCTTTGTTTTGAGCATTTGAGTAATGCTGTTTAACAGATGCTGCTCCCCCTGTCATGAGAATTTCAGACCACAGATCCAGGAAGTTCTCTTGCTGGTCTGACACCAGGAGAACCCTCAGTTTATGGAAAGGGTTTTCTCGTGGGTGCCTGTAGAGTAAAGAGAAACACAGACTGGTAAGAATATCCAGCAGTCTAGTCACCTGATTTGCTCCCACACATGTTTTTTTAATATCTTGCATACAATGGCCCACTCTCTTAGCACACTTCCTGAAGTACTTGGAGTGACTATCCTTTGTTTACAGAGAGTAACACAGAGGTAGACAGTGTTGGTGGGATGTATGCACAGCAGCCTATACCCAAAGTTAAGCTGAACTCTTCCCTAATCTTGAACCACCTTTTTTGTGCACATCCAAATTGCTTCCATTTTGACAGGGCTGAGCAGGAAGACATCAGTCTCCTGCCCAAAAGCCTACAGCTGTCTACAAATATGTGTCTGCCCCTCAGCTTGCCTAAGGAGTCTGACCTCCTCTGTCATCTCAGAACAGACTTACTGGATTAGACTCCAGAGAAAATGCAGAAGCTAGCTTCAAAACTTAGCAAGGGGAAAAGGAAATTAACATAGCAAACATCTCCTTTATCCATTTCTAAGCAGTTAGAGAAATTAGCCGAGGGTGTGGGAAGCCTTGTCTGAATTCCATCTTCCTCATGAGAAGACTGACACCTTCCTTACTTCCAAGGAGACTGGTTTTTGTGTATATAGCACCCAAATGTACTTTGGTGTTAGAGGTCACTGTAAATCCAAGGAAAGAGATGGAAATGCTGTTCCTATATGGAAGGGAAGTATAGGGAGCAGTAGTTGGGTCACTTTCAGCATTTGTTGCTATTCAAGAGCCTCCCAAAGTGTAAGAGGTCTCTCCAAGAGTCCGTAGACTCAGTTCATGGTTATTTGGCACTCACCATTCCAGCAATTTTTGCTCCTGGAGGCTATATCCAGCTGGCAAAAGGTAATTCCGATAATTTTGAAGCTGGTTAGCATGACAGCTATCATGGACCCAGATATGAGACACACAAGGGATCCCTCTGGCAAGGCACAGCAAGTATTTCCGAGTTCGACAATGCTGGTCCGCAATTAAAAGACACTTGTATGCTGCATTACACTTCAGGGGAGAAAAGAAGGCATGTAAACCGGAGACAGTGCTTGCAAAAAAAACCCCGAAATGATCCTGCTGCTAAACAGTTTAAAGAAGAAAACAACTGAAACCCTGATTTTCACAGCTATATATGTGAGAGGTGAATTAGATAAAGGTAGTACTGATTTCAGAATCTGTTTAATAATATCCTATTCCAAGCTCTGCAGTTCACAGGCAAAAACTCTGCCTAGTAGTTTTTGTATCATAGCTCTCTTTCAGTTCAGACAAAAGAGATGATGTACCTAATAGTCTGAGACTCAGTAAGTCACTAGACAAAATTGCTTCCTCAAGCAAGGTGTTCCAAAAACAATTTACCATCTTTATTAAAAAAAAAAAAAGTGAAAGCTACACTAAATTACTGTAGTCGTCCAAGTAGATCTGGCGAGTAACGAGCTCTACCTCTAAGTGTTCCAAGGCACACACCTTTGGTAGGACCACATCTGGAGTACTTCATCCACTCTCAGGTTCTGCAGTATACCAAAAACACCAGACATGCTGGAGCAGGTCCAGCCAAGGACCACTAAGGGGCTTGCGCTTTGGAGCACCTGACATACCAGAAGAGGCAGAGAGAGCTGAGCTTGTTAAAGATCAAAAAGGGAGGGCTTGGGTGGACTTTCTAATGCATATTCATAACTGAGACAAGGGTGTACAAAAGATGCAGCCAGACTCTTGTCAGTGTTATCCACTCAAAGGACAAGAAGCAACAGTTACAAACTGAAATACAAGAAATTTCTTTTTTTTTTTTTTTCCTAATTGGATCAAGCTGCCCAGAGAGGCTCTGGTGTTTCCATTCTTGACGATACTCAAAATACAAATGGACAAGGACCTA